CAACCAATAAAGCAACTTTCAATTGATCGTCTCTGCAAAAGAAGTGCATTCCCCACACAGTACTAACCATGTAATAGAAGAGACAAGGTTAGCATTTTAAGCAATTAAAGAAAAATAAAAGAGTATGCAATTATATATTTAACTACATGCTATAGAATTGGTGCCATGGGAGTAGCATTCAGAGAAGATCTGAGGGTTGCAATCCGTTGCCGGACACGGAAAAAAGACAAAAAGACAAAAAAAAAAATAAATAAATAAAAAACTACATGCTATAGAATTGGTGCCATGGGAGTAGCATTCAGAGAAGATATAAATGAGGAAATTGTTTATTTTATTTTATTTTTTAAATAATGCTGATTCATGTAACAAAAAAACTAATTTCATTATTTTAATTCAGGATTTCATCTGAAATCCCCGAGACAAGAGAAAATGAACTGCGAAATATTTTCATGTCATGTAACTCTTTTCGCTTGTGCTAATTTGCAGTCCAGTATAATTAAAATAGGTAGTTATATAACGATCATTTTTGATTATTATCCTTTGGGTATTTTTTTCATCTATTTACAAATTTCTTACTATACCACAGTGTTCCACCAACTTCCCAGCTGTCCAGATTCTTCCTAAAGTTTCTTTTTTTTACCTTGATCACTCTGGCCCCATTACTCTGATATACATATCTCTAGTAATTACATTATGAAATCTATTTTCTCTGAATTTTCACCCAAGTTTTTGTATTTATATAAGTATTTGTTAGGGAATCTTAAAATTTTAGGAATTAAGACAGATAAGTATTTAAGCTCCAACAAGTGGTTGTCCAGAATCCTCTCTCATAACTTCACTTATGTCTCTAACCCACTTAACCGTGTTAGGTGACACCGAAACCTCCTGTGTGCCCGGGTCAATCCCATAGATTCTGTCTTGGCTTCTGTTTCCTCACTGGGAAAATGCAGTGATGAGAATTAGATTTTAGTCTAAAAAGTTTCTTTAGTTACAGTAATATGGCTACTACTTATAATAGTACTATTTTTATAACTTACGGTTAATTTTTATTTGGTTGCTTTGCAGCATTTGTTCAAAAAAGCAATATAGATGTATGATTTTTGCCGTTGTATGAGCTGTGTCATGCCTGTATACTGTTGTTACAAATTCCAGTTTGCTGTGGCCCTTGAAGGTCGTCTTCTGCCCATCTGCATGTGCTTATGTTGCTAGTGTAGTGCAGAGCGTAACACTTGAATGTCCTGTCCTTAGTCACGTCTCAGCTATTGTTATAATAAGCTTCATTTTGGATCTAGAAAGCTACAGTGTCAGAACACACAAATGCAGTATAAATGGACTTTTCTAAATAAAAATTGAGCAGAGATATTAAGGCAGAATGACAGCAAGTACTGACAAAGGTGATGGCGAACATCATACCTAGCATATAAATAGCATTCAACAAATACTTGTTCTGTTGAGTGAGAGAAGGTCCAGGGCCGTGTTCTGTCTGTGGTACCTGCCCGGGACCACATGGCCACTCACTCACCCAGGGGGAGCAAGCCTGACTGGGGTTGTGCAGGGTGTCACCTGGCCCCAGGCAGGTAGCAGGACCCTACAGCTTAGAGAACTGTAATAAGAATATGTGGGGTCTTTTTGGTGGTGGTGGGGGTGTTGGTTGAATGTAGTTTTGATAACTTTAAAAACTAACCATATTAAGTTGAGCATTATACATCATGCAAATACATTGTAGTATACTTTATTTAGTGAATCCAAATGGCATTTGATAATTGCCTCGGAAGGCCTGTTAATTTTATATCTGATCATTGAATCCAGAGAGGTTAGAATCAATTGGTTAATGGAGTCCCCCAACTTTAAGGACTTTTTTATGAGGTTATTTTCAAGCCTTGCAAAGTTCTCACGAGATAGAGGATTGACAAACTGTAAGAGAGTGTATTGCTGTATTCTCTGTTTAAAGTGTATTGCTATATGCAAGAAAAAGAGAAATAGACCTTACGTCCTTCAGCAGAGCATTCTAAATGTCAGAAATATCTGTGTTTTTGTATTATGTCATAATGGATTGATTGAGACGTATGACAAATGGAACGTTAGCATGCGTCATATGGTTTCTACAAGTATTCAGAGTGTCAGCAGTCTGCAAGCTCATATTTCTTCACAGTGAACTTATCCACGTTTACTTGTGGTGTGCTTTAGAGAACAGTTGATGTTCCCCTTTCACTTCCTTGACCGACTTGGAAAACACGACGTGACCTGCACAGTCTCGGGGGGCGGGAGGTCAGCGCAGGCTGGAGCGATACGGTTGGCGATGGCAAAAGCCTTGTGCAGCTTTGTCACAGAGGACGAAGTCGAGTGGATGAGACAAGGTATGAATCTAGGTGGGAGGGGCATGGTGTCCCAATACCATACTAGTTACCCGAAATTAGTGAGAAGATACTTAGTTAAATATGTAATATTGCAGTTTGCTGGTTTCTCCTTTCCTGCTACAGAACCATTACAGTATTTTTCAGCTTTGATTTCTAGAAGGTGTTTTTGTATCGTGGCATAATGTATTGATTGAGACGTATGACGGAAGATGGTCTCCATTCTCTCCGCCCTCCACTGTGAGCCACTGGGCTTCAATATAAGTGCTGCCTGTGGCTTAGGTCACAATTTTTTAAGCCTCTTATTAAAAATCCATTTGCTTATCAATAATTTGCCATTATATGGGATTCATATCTAGTCATTAAAATAATTGATAGTGACCTAAACAATTCCGCAAGTTTGAGCTTCTGTGCTATCTGAAAGTAATAAAACATTACTACTTACAATTTAAACTAGAACTTAAACAAGTCTTGTCTGTATTTTGTCCAAAATATTATTGTCTTATTCCACATCCTGTAAGTACAAGTATGTGTAAAAGCTTATGGCTACATAATAAGCGATTGAAGGTTTTTTTTGCTATATGGCCGTTGAAAGACCCACTAATAAAATACCTAAGCATTGTATACAGTGAAGAGATGTGCTAGTGTTGAGAGGGTGAAAAAGACAAGGAAAAACTATGGTCTGTTTATGTTTTTATGAAAGCAATTTAAGAGCTTTCTCATGGGCAGTGTTCTTGGAACGTGTGCTCTTCACTAACACTCTGGCTCCAACCACTAGTGGGATGCTTCCATTGGACCATAAGCTAAGAGTGACTCAGAAATTGCCTAGAGATGTAATTGCTTCTGAGGACTGGGAGAATGGAAACTTTAACTGACTTTCTTTTAAACTGACTTTATTATTTTAGAATAAACTGCTTATGTGAGAATAAAGCTCTAATAAAACTTAATTTTAGATTCTGAAACAAAATACCAAATAATATTATTATCACACAAAATATAATAGTAAAAGTTTCTTTTCTGAAATACAAGGGGTCTTCAAAAAGTTCATGGAGAGATTTGTGTTATCTTTTCCTTCCATTTTCCCATGAACTTTCTGAAGTACCCTGTGTGTTAGACACGTTGTGTTCTCATGTGTATGCATGTTCATGCACACTTCCCCGTGCTTCGCTGTACAGGAAGTCTCTCCTCTCCCTCTCTCTGCATTAAACCCTCGCCTCTGCAGTAATGGTGTGCAGGACAAGCTCCATTGCAGTGAACCATGACTGCCCACAAAAGAGCAGCTTTGTCTTCAGGTGAATAAGTTTAAAACCAGAAAGGTGTCATGTTTCTCATAGGATAAGGAAAGCAGACTCAAGTAATGTAGCTGTTGTTTGTCTCAGAAACTGGGAAAATATCCTAAAAGAGTAAAAGCAAACTGCCGTCATGAGATTTATACCAAGCTGATAAATTATTATAGGTCTGGTTGCTTTCCTCCAGTTTTTTTTCCTCTGACAACAGTACCTATAAATTCATGTGTTCACCTACTTTTCTGCTAAGCAGCATACAATTAATTCCATGCTTCATAAAAGCTTCTCTTTTTATGCTGCAGCTGGACTACTTACTACTGATCCACGTGTCAGAGAACGGAAGAAGCCAGGCCAAGAGGGAGCCCGCAGAAAGTTCACCTGGAAGAAGCGCTAAGGATTTTTTTACAGGAAAAGAGAGGAGAAGCATATATATGTGCCTGGCATGTGACAGACACATGATAAATAGTAGCTGGCCAGTGTGAGGGCAGCGGTATCAGAAATTTTTTTGAGTTGTGACATGATTTATTTCTAAATGTGACTTTGTAAAGGTTACCTTTAAAAAATAAAAAAGAATGTTAGCTTTAATCTGTGGCTTTATTTTTTTTAACTTTCTCAAAAGATACTTTTAGGAGCATACTTCATAGAATCTTGGCATATTAGACCTGAAAGGAACATTCAGCAAGATACAGTTGAGTTACCTCGTTTTACAGATGAGAGGGTTCATCCCCAAAGATTAAGCAACCTACCAGAGCCAGACCATGACTAACTTGATGCCAGACCTAGACTAGAACTCATTTCTCCTGATTCTGTTGTTTTCCCACATGGCGGGTGCTACAACATATTGTTCGAAATTGAGAGGTGAGAGTGCTTGTTCAGAGAAGGAAGTGAGGGCCGGCCCGGTGGCGCACTGGATAGTGCGCCGCTTGGGAAGCGCAGCAGCGCTCCCGTCCGAGGGTTCGGATCCCATATACAGACCGGTTCCCGCTCACTGGCTGAGCGAGGTGCGGGAGCAACACCGAGGCTTGCGATC